GATACAGCTGTGAAACCATTTATCTTTTGATAGACCCCTATTGTCAGGGACCGGGCTTTGGCTTTCGTGCGAGCGAACAATTTGGGAAAAGGGAAGAAAAAATCCAACAAAAATGACAACCCAAAAAAAAAAAACCCACCTCCCCTACCAACCAACAAACAAACAAATAAAGGAGGAGAGAGACAATACCCGACAGCTCGCAGGGTTTCCAGGCCTCTGCCAGCTGGGAAGCTAAGCGTATGAAATATGCATCGCACCGAACAAAGCAGACTGAAATGTTCTGCGCTGGAGAGCTGTAACCCTTTCCTGTGTGTGGAGACAGGGAGAGCGAGGTCCCCAGGATGCCAAAAAGTTTAGGGGATAAAAGACCGGGAGGAAAAAGCACCCAGGGCTGTGGGTGAGGAGCGCTGATGGCTTCCCTGGTACCAACATCCAGGCTTTTTGGGTAAGGAGCCTGGTTGTGTAGGATCAGATGAGCTCAACAGGCACCTCCTGCCCGCCCCACATGGCCCTGTCCCACACCAGGGTGCAGAGCATCCTTGGCTGGGAACAGGCGGTGCAGCAATTGTGTTGGGCTGGAGCACGTTGTTCTGGTGTTGGCAGCGATGATGGAGCTTCACCTTCACTCCCAAGGGGAAATGCAAAGCCCAGCAGTGGTCAGGATGCTGGAGAAAAGCAGTGCAGGGCATGGCCAACAACCCAACCACACACGGCTCTGTATTGGCTCAGGAAATCAGCTCACAGCCCACGGTGCAGCAGCAACGAGCAAGGAAAAGGCACAAGAGCCTGCTAGAAAACCTGAGCAAACGGGATACAACGGAGCACCAGGCTCATGAGAACTGCAAGGAAATGGGAGGGCAGGAGCACGGGGGTGAATCGAATCCAGCATTCTAATCAAGGGCTGGGAGAAAATGAAGGGGAGAACAGAGATCCAGCAAACTTTCAGCTAAGTAGATTATTGATCTTCAGGGCGTGCCAGAAACCAGCTTTGCAAATTACAGCAGTCCCCTGCCGCACGCTCAGGCAGTTACCGGATGGCGGAGCAGCAACGTTCCCCACCTCCCACACGCCTTCCTCTGCCACCCAGCTCCTGTTTGCATCTCGCTGCGGCAGGATGCAAAAACATGTCCAAAGGGCGACGGCGTGAAAGGAAACGGTGTGAAGTCCCGGTGTCGAGGGGGAGAGACAGCGTTAGCGGGGAAAGGCTGTGGTGTTCTGCTGCCGAGAGGGAGCAGAAGGCAGAGCCCTCAGCCCAACGCGAGCGGGGAAGGCGGTGACCTCGCGAGGCTCCGTGGAGCTAAGCAAATAATTTCCTTGGCAAAGGCAGGTGCTCTTTCCGCTCGCTGTCGGGAGGGTTTCTGCGCGGCGGAGCCGAGGCGTGAACGCCTCGCAGATTGCCCTGACAACGCGCCTAAACCCCGGCACGAAGATCGACTGGTGAGAAGAGACGGCTCAGAGACCAGCTCCTAGCGGGGTGCCCAGTATCCCACCAAATCTGCCCCTCTGTGCTCACCCTTAGCCCTCGGTGCTGCCAGGCACGGCTGCCCCATGGCACAGCTGCCCCACAGCACAGCCCCATGTCCCTGCCATAGCCTGGACAGGCTCTGTTTTGGCAGTTTTGTTATTATCTGTGCAGCAGCACAGATGTGCACCGCGTTTCCCGTGTACGGAGAGAGGTCCCTGCCCTGAGAGCTGTACAACTGAAGCAGACGGCAGGCGCTCCCCGAGCTGTTTATTTCCAGCAACCCATTACGTGACATTTGGTAATTTTTCATGGTTTCAATGCCAAACCAGACAGAAATGCCCATAGCAGGGATGGGGCTGAGGATGCTCGTATCAAATCTGGGCAGAATGGGCATTGGGAGGGCTGTGTGTCTCCTGCCACCGGTCCCATCACCACTGTCCTTCCAATGGGACCCCTCTGCCTTTGCCCAGTCCACACCACGGACCTCCCAGCCCTCAATAACCATGCTGCAAGCCCCCAAGCCCTCCTGCGAGGGAGTATTTGGTTATCCCTTCTCATAGGAGGCAAGGAAAAGGCCACTCCAGGGCTGTCAGGTGGCAAAGGCACGGAGAGTGACACCAACCGGGTCTTCTCATCGTGAGGACAGCCCCTCCGCCATGGAGAAGCTCATTTTCCTGTGCTTAAACAGAGCTGGGTCTTTCTTTGACTGCTGAAGCGTGATGAGCACTCGGACTGTCAGATCCTCCTTGTTTTAAATAAATTCCACTGACGCACTCTCCTCTGACATCAATTATTAACCAAGCGTGATGCACAGAGCGTGCCGGCAGCAGCATCTCGGAGCAGGACCAGGCAGCAGGTGAGGTTTTGCGCTGCGACCGCAGGTGTGAAGCAGTTAAATGACACTGTCCCTGGGAGCTGAGGTGTGCCGCCACGGCTGCCACCTGCCCACGCCACGGAAAGTCACACTCCATACCCAAGCCATAGAGAAACCAAACTCCTGGCATCTCCATGCGTCCATCTGTGCCAAGATGCACTGAGAGCAGGGGCTGTTTTTCCCACCTTGCCGTGGCCCTTCTGACAGTTCCAGAGATAGAGGTACAGGAGATTGGCTCCTGGGGATGTCCTGGAGGTACCTGGCCAGCCACTGTCTCCTAGGGTAGCCCAAAGCAGATGGGACCATTTCTGTCCCTTCAGCCTAAACAAACTTCCAGTTGAGCTGGGGCAAGGTGGATGACATGGGGACAGCCCTTCAGAGAGGGACCAACCCATCAGCTGATGCCCAGAGGTAAAATCTACCACCTTCCCTGCTTGAGAATTCACCAGAACATTCAAAAAACCCCAAGGGAGAGCAAACCATCAGCATGGGGCATGGGGCCAGCGCTGGTGGGAGCTCCTGGGACCACCACAGGATGCCAGGATGGTCCTCAGCTGCCCACACTGGGGGCTGAAGGGTGCATCTGGGAAATGGCTGGGATAAAAGGGCAATTCCGCTGCCCCAAATACAAACTCACATAGAAAAGAGAAGAGTTATGCAAGTCTCAGCTCTCTGAAGCCCTGGGGGGCTTCCAGCACCACATAGGTCATCCGGGCTCCCCTTCTTCACCACCATACAACCAGAAGGAATGGGAAGGAGGATTGAGCAGGAAAAAACCCTGACTTATTTTTTCCTCTCATAATTCAGAAGAACAACGTCCACATTTCATCCTGGAAGTAGCTGCACTTTGGGGATTCTTGTGTCCGAGACCTAATTTGTAAAGTGCATAGGGATCCCTTAGGGTACAAAAAGAATTATAGGATCATTATTAAAATGGACACATTACATTTCATGTCTCAGTTCCACACCAATGGAAATAAAAGGCCAAGATGTCACTCCAGGATGAGGGGACAAAACCGTGAGACACAGCACTCATCTGGTGAAGTGACAAAAACGGGATGCTGCTTCCTACGCATTGAGTGCTGCATCGGAGCGGCCTCTCCAGCTCTCCTGCTTTGCCCACAGCCAGGCCACATCAGTGACACAGAGTAAAGAGCAGCAAATCTGGGTTTTTTTAATAAAATCTATAATCTCTGGGCAGAGCATTCCCTCTCAGTTCTTCCCTGGGTTCGTTTGCCCATCTGGGGTGGGATCCAGCACCCTGTTACAGCATCAGATCCTGCTGCAGCCTGAGCACAACCCACACATGGGGCTGCCCGCGGTCCTGCTGGCTCCTCCAGCCACCAGCACAGATAATCTAGAGAAAATAAAAGGCTTTCTCGATATTTTCACCAGTTCTTACACCAGCAGTGTCTATGTGATACCCTGCCACAGATCTGGAAGGCTCCTTTAATGTACGTGGCTAGATGAGAAGCTGTTTTCCCAGAGGAACGAGTGAAGCCACATATTTCAGGTTGCATCTCATGCCTGCCTGTCTCCCACCCACACGGCGCACACGTCTGCTGGTGTAATTTCTCTCACATATACAGCATTTATCTGCTCAGCCGAGCCCGTACATCACCTGGCTATCGATCTGCTGGAGGCGGCACGACCTGCACCTGCAATGAGGGTGTGAAGGAGATGCTGCAGGAACGCAGACCCTGCAGGGAGAGCACGACCTGCACCTGCAATGAGGGTGCGAAGAAGATGCTGCAGGAACGCAGACCCTGCAGGGAGAGATGGGCTGAGGCAGCAGCACACCCTACACCTTGGGTTGGGGGTTGCTGCTGCAGCAGCGAACACGCAGCACCCCAACACAGGGGCAGTTCAACGGGAAAAGGGGCCCCACCATCGAGGATATCTGACTTCTGAGATACTGGAGCTGCTGGTGCAGGTATCACCTGGCAGTGCAGGGGCTGAGGCAGCAGCACAGCCTGGACCATGGGCTGGGGCTGCTTCTGCAGCGGGGAATGCGTAGCACCCCAACACAGGGGCAGTTCAATGGGAAAAGGGGCCCCACCATTGAGGATATCTGACTTCTGAGATACCGGAGCTGCTGGTGCAGGTATCACCTGGCAGTGGAGCTCAGCATGGAGCTGGGCTTTCATTGAAACCCTGATCAAGCCCAGTGAGATAAACACAGACTCAGTTTCTAGATATTTTAACACTTATCCTCTCCTCCAGACTATTTAGTGACTCTTAGGACCAGAGCAGGATCCCTCTGAATTCCCATCAATGCCTTGCTCTTACCTTGTGTGGTAGACTTCAACTTTTTGTCCTGGCTTTCAAAGGCCAGGCACTGCTTAACCCATCACCAGCCTCAGCAGACACAAAATCATCTCCTCATACCACAATCCTTATACCTTTGCCTCCCACTCCCACACGGGGCTGTTCCCTCTCAGATGTTCTGCACCTACGCAGCAAGGACTTGTGCAGTCCTAAAGTACCATGGCTGTAATAAGCCATAAATTAATACAAGGAAGAGGAAATGCTAAATAGCATTTCTGAGTTCCTGGAAATAACAGTAGCACAAGGCTCAATCCTTGGGGCTTCAAAGGGCTGGGGAGGAGAGGACTTCTGATGAGACAAAGCAAAGCAGCAGAAAATGTGGTTGAGCACTACCTGTGTATGGTCTTCATCTCCCTGGGCATGGACGGTGTAGGAACGACCTCCGGTTTTCACGGTCTCCGTGGCAATGCGCACTTTCACCCCCGGAAGTGGGGTCCCCACAGAACCTGTGAAGGAAAACAAGGCTGAAACAGTGGACAGGCTCTAGGAAACAAGAAATCTGAGGAGGCAAAAGAGCAGCTGCTCGTCTATTAATGGCATCTGCAGACTGTGCTGGCACTAAAGAACTTCCTAGCGGGGGGTTACCCTTCAGGAAGGCTTCGATCACACCGTACGTCTGCATGCAAATGTCGCTATACGCCGTTGTTCGCTGAGCAGGCAGCGTTGGAAATGCCTAGGAAAGCAAACGTGTCTCCAGCCCTGAACAGTCTCTCTTGGCCAGTCTTTGAAGACATCGGCACAGCTTCGTAGCTCGGTAATGAAGCTGTCTTTTAGGGGAAAAAAAAGCACCATGAAACGTACACAAAGATGTGAAAAGGAAGAGCACAATGATTACTACAGTGGCTCACTGCTTCTCTATAGCCCTGACCTGACAGAGAAGGCAGAGGCTTAACAGTGTAAGAATTGCGAGGGATTATCTCAGTTTCACGAGACATCAATACGCTGTACATAAAACATCACAGGAGAAAAGCAGAGATCAAACCCACGCCGTTCTTCCACAGGTTTCAATTTTCAAAGCCGGGGAACCTGACACAGCATCATGAACGACTGCTGTTCAGCTCCAAGGTGGTTCTGCAACCCCAGAACTCCCCAACCTGCAGCGTCCCCACCCCTTGGCTCAGTGCATGCTCTTCTTTGTGAGCTCCTCAAAGCCCAGCAGAAAGGGCAATTTTGTTCCCAAAACCTGTCTGATGGGACAGCTCTGAGCTCAAATCACTTAAGTGTACTCTTTATTTTAAGATATTACCAATTTTTTCCTCTGGACAACCTCCAGTTAGTGACACTTTCAGCTCTGCTAGGATCAGCTCAACATTGGCAAGTCCTTAGAGCAGGGTGTGCAGGACCTGGACCTCAACAGTGTCTCCTCCTTGTCTATATTTCAGGTATTTGGGTTTAAGTGGCATTTCCTCTACCCTGGTCCCATTCTCTTGTTCAAGCCCTGGAGGTCCAATATCAGTGACATCATGATTTTGTGTGCTACATTGGTCAGTTGCCATGGAAATCGATATGTCGTCGGAGCCCAGATTTATGGCATCCCTGCAGGATCAGCTAAGAGCAGATGGGCTACGAGGGAGTGAGATTTTATTGCAGTGAAACTACCCGAACAATTAGCAAATCTGGCAAGAAATAAACAGAAAAGCAACGTGGCGGGTCTGGGATGCGTGTCTGTTCAGCTTGAAATTGCCTTCGGTGTTCAGGTCAGCCAACACATGCAGCCAGGTCCTTCTCTTACCATGAGCATCGCTTGGGATGGTCTCATCTCCTGGCCTGACGCTGCCAGGAGTCAGGGGACTGCAGTGGAGTACAGGGAGAGAAGCATCTGCCAGGACAAGTCACCAGGAAAAGTGCCTTGAGATGCTATGTAGAGGTATTTATGTGTTTTAAACAGTCTGGTAGACTCCAGGAGGACTCAAAAAGCAAGTTACAAGTCATGGAAAACATGCAAAACATTTGCATGCTAAGCTTGCTTGAAGCCACCTTCTAGACTTCTATGGGAACATGTTCTTTGGTGTGAAAAGGTCTTGCAAAGCTCATGGAGGGAGCAGTGACCAGGGCAATGAGCTGCCACGGGCTCCCATAAATATCAAGATGAGATAGAGTCTTCCTCCCCGTATGCAAGATACTGACCCTCAATGCAGAAATACGATGGGCTGATGCATGGGCAGCAGGACTGACGGGTCAGTGCTCACTTCTAGCCTCAAGTCTTTGATTTTTGGTATTGCATTCTCAACACAGGGCTGTCAAACAAATCTGAAGACACAGAGGAGGCCTCGTGTTTCTCATACAGCGCTTCAGATCACCATTACTAATTATTTCATACTTGGCTAAAGTAAAACCAATGTGTAAAGCAAGTCCCTCATGGGGAGCTGTTTCCTTATATTCAGTCTGGAGAAGGCTGTCTGGTATTTAGGAAAAAATGCCAAACTTGGAAATCAACACCTGTAAAGGCTGAAAGTGCTCACAACGTTGAATAGAGCTACACAAACCTGATGGTATTAACGAAATTTGTGCAAAAGCAACAACTGGAGGCTCCCAGGCCCATCTGCCGTGTCAAAATCCACACTGTGCTGACTCCAACAGGTCAGCAAGTGGTTGAACCTGTTCCCAAAGGACTGGAGGTCCTGGCTTCACCAAAACCAGGGTAGATCAGAAAAGGTTCAACACCATAATCCCCAGAGGAAAGAGGAGAAATCCCTGCTCCTTCCCCTCTCCCTCTCTCCAATTTGTAGGCTCCTGAATGTTCAGAAATGCTGGCAAGGCGCCGGCAGTGTCAGCCCTGCCGGCTTCAGCCAGGCTGCAGGAGGAAGGAGTGACACCATTATTCTTGCACCAGTTCACCTCCGTTTAAAAAAGTTGTCAGCTCTTCCCAGATAAATTTAATTGGCCCTGCCGGTCTGTGTCCTTCGGTATCTGGGGACCTGGATGCTGTTATGTGCGGTGGTGTCCTGGGAGAATTGAAACAGGCCAACGATAAGGCACTCAACGATCTCACTGTCAACAATACACGGAGTCCCCGCTGTAGCAGCTATTAGCCGCCTCTGATCTAAACCTCCAATTAAAGTGGTGATTAGGCCCAGTGAGGCATCCTCTGGCCATGAATTATTCATCTCCCTTCACAGTAACAGCACCAGGGGGATCAGAATGAGAGCTGGTGAAAACAGAGGCATTTTAAGCAGGGTTTTAACCATATACAAGCAAACATTTATCTTTCATCTTTTTCTTTTGCTGGAAATTAAAGCCCCCCTGCTTGCCTCTGCCCCTTCAGATCTGTGTTGTGGGTGGAGAGCGGTGCCACGCTGCCTGGGACACTGGTGGGGACATGGATTTGATCCTTCCCCAGCCACACCAAGCGAGTGGAAGCCCCAGGAGCTCTCCTCAGAGGTACATGAAGAAGGACGTGTGCTGCTTCTACTCCAGCAGAAATCCCTGGGCCAACCTGAGGATCCCTGGACTTACCCATGGGGTAAAGTGCCCTCCTTTCCCCACAAAAAGCTAGAAATCACTTTGGCCAGCACATGGGTCTGTGGTCACCATGGCCTAGCATCTGTCCCTGTAACACTGATGCCATCTGAGGTCTTTTCTCTGGATCCTCCACTCCTCCTCCTGCCCAGCCTCTGTTCCCAGCCCATTTCTCAGCTGATTTTCTCACAGGGGATGCTCTGTGGTACCTGGTGACCTTACATCCCAGCCTCTAATGGGGTACTATATCAAAAGCTTTTTCACAGCTCCAGTAAATGATGCCTCAGCTTCACCCATCTGCTTCCCCGCTGACACTTTCTGAAATAAATTAATCAAGCCTATTCAATTACAGCCCTCTTTCTGTAAAGTCTCACTGCACGAGTGGATTTGTCCCCAGCTCCCCTGCAGAACGCGGTATCCTCAGGGACCCTGTTCTGGCTCTGTCCAGGAGCGTGGCCACCCAGATCTGGAGCAGGAGCTGCCCTTTCGAGTGCCAATGTCTGCCTTGCTCTGGTTATTTTCAGTCTTATTTCCTTTCTACTTTTGTCTGCTGAGAAATTTCGACAGTCTCCACTCATTTCCCCTCCTGAAGATGAATCAAAATCAAATTTAACCAGGTCATAGGGACATACAAACTGCACCATTACCCTGTGGTGTGAGGTTCATGGAGAGCTCGTACAAGTGGGAATCTCATTTTTCTGCCTGCTTCCCTCTCCCACCTGCAGGGATGGGTGTCTGGGGAACGGAAGACTGGCTGAATTGGGCTGGGGGAATGGCATTAACTCTGCAAAAGTAAACTCCAGTTTGTATTTCGTGCTGCCCCTGAGTTCTTCTCCGGTTGAGGAGCTGCAGCTTCTCCTCTCCCCATGCAACCCCTGTAGGGGCACTGGGGTAGGACTGGGATGTTGTGGGAAGCCACGACACCCAGGACAACCCCCGTGGGTGACATTGATCCCCCCAAGACACCACAGACCACGGTGGTGCATATGGTGCCATGCACGCACAGACAGCATGCGGGGAGGAGAAGGTGGCGCGATGGTGGGCTGGGTTGCTCGCAGACAGATGGCCACATTTTCAACCAAAGGGAGGGTGGGGGCATTTGATATTTTTAATGTTTCAGATCAATTTATTTCTAGGTTACATAAACAGCAGATATTAAGAGGAGCCACAAAATATAGCTAGGAGAAGTGAGGGAAGACAAGGAGAGAACAGAACCGGGGCGTACAACGAGGTGTGACAATTTCTAATTCCTGAAGAGTCAAGGAACTTGCACTAAAATAAGGGTGAGCAGACATCCTATTTTAAATGTTCAGTACCAATCGGGTGGACATGAACTGCTGCGGGAGGAATCCTGTGTCAACACCGCTCACAAATACAACTTCCCAGAGCCAAGCTGAAGATGCGGTCTCATCACGCTGCTTGAACTAAGACTTTGGACATAATAAAGCATTGATATGGATGATATTGAACCAGCCTGGCTGGTTGGGTCAGCATGCTGACGAGATGTACGTTCTCTGTGATGAGAAAACCCAAAAGCACATCACAGCCAACCACCTCCAAACAGCGTGCACCCTCTGGAGACTCCTACCTGGGACACGGACTCCATGCAAAGGGTTAGAAAGCGCCATCCCGATCTCAGTCATCCCATACCTCTCCAGCAGTGTGTGCCCAGTGATGCTCTTCCACTTCTCCAGGACAGGCACAGGCAGGGCTGCGGAGCCTGACACCATTAACCTGCACGAGAAAACCCCATGTAGGAAAGTATCCAAGATCACTTTTGTTCAGTGCAGAGCCACAAAGATGATGGAGGGAGTGGAGCATCTCCTGCTGAGGAGTGGCTGAGAAAGCTGGGGCTCTTGAGCTTGGAGCAGAGGAGACTGAGGGCTGCCCTCATTCCTGGGGATCCATTTGGAAAGGGCAGTGTCAGGAGGAAGGAGCCAGGCTCTGCTCTGGGATGGCCAATGCCAGGACAAGGGGCAATGGTCCCAAGCTAGAGCACAGGAGGTTCAAGCTGAAGATGAGGACAAAGTTTGTCAGTGTGAGGGTTATGGAGCATGGCCCAGGCTGCCCAGAGAGGTTGTGGAGTCTCGTTCTCTGGAGCCACCCAAAGCCCTGGCCGTGTTCCTGTGTGACTGCTCTGGTGATCCTGCTGTGGCAGGGGTTGCACTGGGGCAGCTTTCCAGGTCCCTTCCAACTCCTGATATTCTGAGATTCTGTGATCACCTTTGATGCAGGGAACCTGCAGTCTAACACAGGGTTACGCAAATTCTGGTCTCATGTAAAAACTTAAGCCAGAAGCCCCAAAAGCCTTTTAACCAGTACAAGGATGTTCCTCACATATAGGAGATTCTCTGATACGGGTTTAGGACAGTCTCCTAAAAGAGATCCTGCAGTATAAGCTTGGGTTGCAGGACAACGTCCTTAGTCTTGTGTTATGTAGGGTGACACATCTAATGAGCACACAGACCCCTTCTGGCTTTACCATGCAAGAGTGGCTCATAATTAAATAATGTCACCCTGCTTCTCATCAAAGAGACACTAAAGCACAAGGATCAGCACCGCAAAGAGGTGATGCTGAAAAGAAACCTTGAATCCACCACGGAAACAGGCAGTGACCAGCACCCCCTGCCCAGAGGGGATTGCTCACCCACCTGATGTTCTCCTGGCAAAAGGCACGCACGAAATCCTGCACTTGCGGCTGAGAGAAATGCTTGTCATAATACTCGATCAGCTTGGCATAGATTGTGGGCACTGCCATGAAGACACTGATCCGGGGAGCTTCAGAGCTTAGGAACTTCTTCCAGACCTAGAAAGGAAGGGAACATACATGTGTAAAAATACAGCTCAGTGTAAAGCGTAGAGGGAAGTGAAGTGTGGTCACGTTAACTCCTCTGCATTTTTGAAGAGGTTCACAAGAAACAGCTCTGCAAACACTTCAGGGAGCAGTGAGCCCCACAACCACTCCATATAGGGCAAGGGGAAACAGAGGTACAGTCCAAAGCAAACCCTCCTGGGTTGCTCACAGTCAAACCTCTGCTGTTTAAGGTTTGGGAAAGTACAAACAACTGGAAGCTGTTGTGTGCACTTCATCCATGTCCAGAATGACAGCTCCCAACCCTCATCATGCCCAAAGCACAATACTTAACTCTCATCCCACCCGTGGATCACTCACCTGCTTTCAGTGAGCACAAGATGATGGAAATGGCAATTTTTTAGTACAGTCATATTACAGTCAATAATTTGTTAATGAAGACAAAAGCTTGTGGCAGAAGAAGCTAATTCCTTTACCAGAAGCAGCTCTTCAGAGGCTACACAAAGCCACCAGCTCTTCAAACGCATGGAAGCAATTTGGAAAGCCACTCACATCCACAGAACACGATACACAGGCAGGAGCCCACAGACCCGAACCTTTGAGGGAGAAATACTGTCAAGACGGATGGCAGAGCTGGGAAGAAAGATATCACTCAGTGGAGCTGGGAGTGAGACCAGTGGGAGCTACACATGGGGGTGAACTCCAGGAGCCAGCCCTGCTGGGAGGGTGAATCCCCACCAGGGAGTAGTTAGCAATGGGTAGCAGCCATAAATATTGCAATTGGGCCCATTCCTCCCCACTCTTCCCCCCAGGAAAGCTCTTCCCAAGACAGCAACGATCCGAAAGCATCAATAAATAAAAGGCCACGGTGACGGCCGCATCTTTCCCTTCGCTCCAGTGTTGACAAATGTATTTCCTAACAGCTCCTGACAACGGTGCCACCTCTCCCCTCCCCGCCCGCGCACGCTCAGCTGCGCACGGGCACGTGCGGCGGCAAGAAAAAGCAGGGATTGATTGAAGGTGAACAAGCGATTCTCCTTCATGCTGTCACTCTGCCCCTTCCCCTCCGTCCTCCGCGCTCGGGCTCCATTTCATTACTTTCTACTTGGCTGCGTCGGCGCCGCCTCCCCCCGCGTCTCTCACTCCGCTGCTTCAGAACAATCGGCTCCTAAAATAAATAACCCACCAGCACCGCAGCGTTGCTCTTGATAGAGCAGGGCACGGCCAACACCGTCCCAGCAAACAGAGGGGAGTTCACGCTGCTTCCCAGTTCGGAGATGGTCCTTGATGGGGCGAGATAAATGCACAGGGTGGAACCTACCCCTGGCATTTTGGGAGCTGGGACATGGGTGCTGCGAGACCCCATTGGCACCAGGGAAAGCAGAGGAGAAACGTGCCTTGTTTGGGTCAGAGAGGGAAGATCATGCTCTGTTGCAGCAACCTCACCTGCCAGCATGATCCCCTAAAACAAGCCACAATAAGCAAAATTGCATTTAGAAGGATCTAATCCTCACCATTCTCTTTCCTCTCCCACTCTCTTTCCTCCTCCCACCCTCTTTCCTCAAAGATCTTGTTCTCTTCAACCCCCCAATATCTTTCTCGCCGGAAGCAGGAGGATGGAGAAGGATCTCTCCAAAGCTGAAAGCATGGACCTGCTCTCCTCAGCCCCCAAGAGCTATTGCCTTGGGCAGGGAGAGATGCACGATGGCCAGCAGGGATCAGGGCCATGTCCAAACAGCTGAATGGAGACAGATGCTCAGGACTGCTCCTTCCTTGCTCTGTGATTTATTTTTTTGCCTTCACAAGTCCAGAGCAGCTGTGGGGAGCACAGACAGACTTCCAGCCTTATTTTCACTGGATTTGGATTAAAAAAAAAACCTAAAACCACCTCTCCAAAACACAGCAGATCTTACTTGCACCCCAGAGTCCCCCATCCTAGTCCTTTACTCTACCCTGGTGAGACTGCATTTGGAATATTGTGTCCAGTGCTGGGCCCTCAGCTCAAGAAGGACAGAAACTACTTGAAAGAGTCCAGCAGGGCCACAAAGATGATGGAGGGAGTGGAGCATCTCCTGCTGAGGAGCAGCTGAGGGAGCTGGGGCTCTTGAGCTTAGAGCAGAGGAGACTGAGGGGTGCCCTCATTCCTGGGGATCCATTTGGAAAGGGCAGTGTCAGGAGGAAGGAGCCAGGCTCTGCTCTGGGATGGCCAATGCCAGGACAAGGGGCAATGGTCCCAAGCTGGAGCACAGGAGGTTCAAGCTGAAGATGAGGCCAAAGTTTGTCAGTGTGAAGGTGGCAGAGCATGGCCCAGGCTGCCCAGAGAGGTTGTGGAGTCTCCTTGTGTGGAGACACCCAAAGCCCTGGCCGTGTTCCTGTGTGACTGCTCTGGTGATCCTGCTCTGGCAGGGGTTGCACTGGGGGAGCTTTCCAGGTCCCTTCCAACTCCTCATATTCTATGATTCTGTGATCCTCGCATGCCTGCTCAGCTCCTGCCCCAGATAAAATCCTCCGGCCACGGGAGCAGCTTTTTCCATGTCAGCCCGACTTGCCCCAGCAGCAGCCCCTTTCCTGAAGATAAGCAGCAGCTGCCTTTGGATTGGTGCCGCCAGCTGCAGGGGTTCTCTGCTGACAGCCAAACCTCTCCTCCTGCTCTGCTCCCACTCAGCCAAATCTGGATCCTACCTATGTGGTTTAACGGGGCTGAGCACCAAGCTGGGGTGCAGAGGTGGTAACCCCAAGTCCTCTGCAGAGCCTGAGCTGTCCAGAGGGTTTGTCACTGCCCAGCCGGCTGTAGCAGCTATTTCTGGTTTATAACTATAACTTCATGGCTTGAGAGAAGGATCTGGGAAAGTCTCGTTACCTGGGACTAATCAATCAACCCCGGGGCTTGGACAGGCTCTTAGCAAGAGGCCAGCTTTCCCCTTCCAGTGCACAGCATCCTCCAGCGCCATCGGGCTTGGAGCAGTGCAATCAATCTCCCCCTCTCCGTTATCCCATGTGTCACCGTCACCACATCACTCACCCATGGACAGGGTATCGGCAGCCCATCACTGCATTTTATTTTGCTCACCTGATACCTCAGGACTCTGAGTGCTTTTAAAAAGCCATGGATCCAGGAGGCAAACACAGCACCACATGCCATGGCTGCCAGATTTCACACCAGACACAAGGGAAGCAGCAGTTTCCCAATGGAGGATGTTCAGGACATGGACCAAGCTTTGTTCTAAGATAAACAAGTGCTAGAAACAAAAAGTTTCTAAGTGCAAGAAAACAAGGGTGAGAACAGCTTCCTATCAGCATTAACAGCAGGGAAAACAACAGGGCTGCCTGAGCCAGCAAAGAAGTGGGAGAGCTTCTATTCCCCAAGAGCCCACATTCCTGATTTTCTTCCCCTCCCACTGCACGTCTGGGCAATCCCATGGGCTGGCCAAGGAGATTTTGCCATCAGTAAACGGAAAACAAGAGAAAGTTACAGCAGTGGGTACGAACCAACAGACACAGCTGTTAAGATTTTTCCCACGTATTTCTGCCAGCACACAGATGGTGAATGAGGACAGAGGAATCCGCAAGCTGCTCCAAGAGATGGTCTTGCCATCCAAAAACCTTCCCAATCAGCCTCCAGATCTGCTAAGGGCACCCCAAGCAAGAGCTGCAAGCACACAGGAGGAAAGGCAGTCACTTTTTCTTTTCCTTGACAGAGGTTTCACCTTCAGAGGGAGATGTGCAATGCCATAAACCAGACAGAAAACACCAAATCTACCAACAAGTGGGCATCTTCTGATGCAAAAAAAGAAGAGAAAGCAGCAAAAAACCCTTTATATGCTAAAGCTTGCAAGACTTTGCGTGATACAGGACTCCCAAAACCAGAGATGGAGGCAAAATGCTGAAAAGGAAGCAAGTAACAGCATGGATTTTCCCATCAGACCACAAACAGATAACAGGCAGCCTGTGCTGCTGCCTTTATTGACAGATACAGCAGCTCCTCTCTTCTATAAAAATTATTGTATCGTTTTCAGTTGTTATTGAATTTTTTTAAGCCTTTTCAGAAGTCACAATAGCCCTAATGCAAGGTTAAATCATCCCTTTACCACCCTTTTCATCGGTGAGATGGGTTTGTGTTTTGCATCGATCGCTGCTGTGCGGGTAACAACACCACCACTGGGGAGGTAAAAAGGGCTGCTGCAATTTTTGGAGAGCAACAGGCAGCGAGGGGGCTGCAGCCAAAGCAGCTTCTCTTTGGGTAAGATCCTGCACCTAATGCTGAGGATAGAAAGCTCCCATAACTCTACAGAAGCACCAAAGGGATGGCAGGGCCACGAACCCATATTCAACACTGGTGTATCCCCAATAACGACACGACGTGAGGTGGGAGAGCATCACGGGGAGCTCTGCTCTCTGCTAAGGATGGAGCTATGAACAATGCACAAACATCCTTCTCTTCAAAGGGAAAACCAGGCCCTTGGTGGCTTTGTCTCATGTTTGTTATAACCCCAAACCGTTTGCGCGCTGCACGACGCTGGTTTTAATCATTTATTCATCAGTGCCGTTTGATGGCCCCTCTGCATTCCAGGCTGAAGCTTTTAAACCCTTCCTATGCTGTAGGCATACTGAGAGGAGCAAGTGCTTTCCCTGGGACCTGGTAATATAAGTAAATATGACAGGCTCTGGTTCCATTTCTTATATTTCCCCACACACATCAAAAGACATTACTCCGCAACAGATGCTGAGGACAGACGGCAGATCTGGGGAGATGGGAAGAAAAACCTCTAACTTTTTAAAGCAAGGTCTGCGAGAAGCGATCAAACGTAATCCATTCACTAGCGACCTGCTCCTCCCTCCACCGACTCTGCTTTGAGTCTGAAATAAAATTACTCCTCTGAAGCCTCCCATTAGCAGATGAAAAGACAATTGCCTTTCTCCAGCTGAAACTGGATGGGCAATCCCCAGCGCGCTACGGTGCTTGGTTATTGGAGATCAGACTCCTCTGCTTGGGGTTTGCTTTTCTTTTGAAAATAAACCAGAAGAGCTGCCCAGAGTGATGTTTGCAGAAGCGACAGATCCAGGGGAGAGGCTCACTGCGGTGCATGCTTCTCCTTCCCGGAGGCAACCGTGACTATGGAGCCACAGATCTCCCTGCACAGCCCAGCAAAGGTAGAAAACATCAGTGCCCAGCTCCAGTCTTGCCTGGTTCGCACAGATAACAGTGTCAGCAAGGACACTTTGCTCACAGGCTGCTCATCTTCGTGAGGAAATCAGGAGTGTAACGATACGATGCAGCAGTGACCCTGGAGCAACACCTCATGTGCAGCAGCGTGAGGAGCATCAGGTCTGTGACACCTTCTCACCATGGGGAAAAGCCACCACAACCGCAGCACAGGGAGTGAAGCTAAACCCAAATCCCACACCAGCTTTGGGCACTCCTTGTCCCCATTTCCCTAGATAGAAGGGTGAAAATAACAATTTGGATGGCTTTGCATGTGACATCGTAAAACCGAGTATGATTTTTAGAGGGCTTGATCCTCGGAGGCACCTTAAGTCAGACAGGCAGCAATGCTGGCTCCAAAACAACCGCTCGTTTGGGGACTTCAGGGCAATAAATCTGCATCTTGGAACATTTCTCATGGAAGGGGCTGCAGGGCACAGACAGCGTTGTCACTCTGCAGGCAGCACCACCACAGCTCGAATCCTGCCCAGCAGAGCCGAGCGGGCAGCGCACACCACAACTGGGTCACACAGAGCTGAGATCCCCAGAAGCTTCCCCCATCACTCAGAGCAAGATTCTTCCTTCATGTTTTCGAGTACTTTTATTTCCCCTCCTGCACTTAAGGCTGAAAGACCTCCTGGGATCTGATCTCACATTTTTCAATGCGAAGAGCTGGCAGGAAGCCTTTTGCTATGAGAACACATGTCCCTTAAGGCGAGATCAGAGGTGGTCCAAGGCAAAGACAAGCAGGTCCCGTCATTCACACTCAGAGAGGAGTCACATCAGCCAAAAACCTCAGCAGAGGATCCTGCAAAGCAGACACTGACCTCACGACTCCAAAAACCTCCTGTCCTCAGGGTGCCTGATACAGCCAGGTCCTGATGTGGCACAGGGACACTGATGTGTGACTGTGATGGCAGAAGTGCCAGCACAGAGGACACCTGGGTTCTCCTGGGTTTGTCTCTCCAGACTCGTTGACATTTCCATCGAGTACCAGTCACAGCACAGGGTGTGCTCAGCCTTAGCAGCTGGAATCGATGCTGGGAAGGGAGACGGAGAAGATGCAAGGAAGGGAGACAGAGAGGAAGACAATCACAGAGGCCTTCAAAAAGCACTTCGTCCCTGGTGCCCAGTAAGAAGGCTCACCTTGCACTCCTTCCTCAAGCAGAGGCATTCATCTCTTACCTTCCAGCCACCAATTTGCACTAAAACTGTACAAACCTTTAAAATTTCTACTCTGCATCAGAATAAAAGGCAGGCATTTCAAACAGGTTCAGGAGCAGCTGAAAGGAGAAATGCTGGCTGCCTGCAAGCAGGAACGGTGCAGCTGGGCAAGCACATTCAGCTTAGAAGCAAGTTTTGGTGGAAGGATTGTATGTGGACACATAGGCTGCAGCTTGCAGGAGGTTTCTGCCCTCTCAGTTCTCACCCTTACTTGAAAAAGTAAAAGTAATATCATAGCCATCCTTGCTGCACACAGCTGGTAGGAGGAATGCACTTTCATGTTCTCCTGCCCACTCCCATGTGCCCACAGCAGTCCTGAATCTTCTCCCCACAGTCAGCACCAGTAGCACAGCTGGGAGCACTGGGTGCTGCTCCCATGGGCTCCGAGCAGGAGCCTGAGAAAGCCAAGCTGCACACCAAGGAGTACATGCACCAGAGGACTCAGCACGTCACGTACAAGTGGACTGCAACGCTGGAAATTAAGGGTCCATTTATAAACCCTTTATTAATAAGTGATTAATAGATGCAGTCATATTTTTTAATAACTAACAATAAAAAGATGCTACGAAAAAGCTTAAGCAAGACAGTCTTAACAGATGGTGCTATAAAGTGAATTATAACATGTACAGTAGCTAGTGCAAAGTAATGGATGTCCTCATTTAATAAAAAGAACCTGATTTTATGCAGCAACTTTCACGCTTGAGGCATCTCAATACACTTTAATGAGCCCTCGTGGCCTCAGCAATGGCTTGCGTGCAGCCACGGACATCAGATGCTGTTTTAGTGAGAGAAGGGATGTTGGTCAGGACACTGGGGTTAATCCACAGGCTCGATTTTTAACCTTTCCTTGGACAGCTCCCAAAAACAGACTGAAGGGTCTGAAAGATGCCACCTCCTAACACTGCACTGCAGGGAGCAACAAGCAAAGAGCCTTGGTCCAGGGCCTGAAATGTCTTCTAACTAAGGAAAAAAAAATAAAGAGCATTATTACCACCACCAAAACCAGACCAGCATCTGCATCCACGACTATAAGGCACGCCGCAAATTATGTAATTTAATAAACACCGTAATAATAAAGTATTTATTTTGTATAATGAAGTGTTAGTGATTAGAAACCAAACACACATTGGGCATGCTGCTGCGGTTTCTCTTGAACCCTTGCCAGTATCACTCAGGGCTAAATATGTCTGCAGCAGGTTGAGAGTAAGTTCCTAGCCTTGTTTTGATCAGCCTGTCAAGTGTTTTAGCTGCCATTCGAGTTTCTTTATATCACACTATAATTGGCTGCTTTCTCGAGGTGCAGCAAAAGGGGGGGGGAAAAAAAGCACACAGCAAAACTCAGGCTCCTTTTGCAAAATCCTCCACTGAAACTCCGCTGCTTTTCTGAAAGCTGATTTCAGTAGCAAAGGGCATTTTGTAAACAGCTGGTGAAAATAGACTGGAACTGAAAGGCAGCTTGCATTAAACTCCACAAGAAAGCCTTATTTACCCTCATGTGCTTTCTTTGTAGTGTCGATCAAACCACTTTCGGCTCCCAGGGGAGGCCCTCGGAAAAAAAAATAAAGGGACTTTAAAAAAAATATATATATATAAAAAAAGCAAATTACATCCTTCAGAGCCTGAATGCACCTGAGAGCCCTCAGAACAGCACTCGCTTACCTCCCTGCCCAAGTTCAACTTCCAGGGTCAAGCGGCCGTCCTCCACCGCTGTCCCTGCTTGCCCTTGGTTGTCACAGCTGGGGGAGAGCTTTGATCAGAGGAGGCAGGCAGGGTGTGCTGCTCCCCCCCCTGCACCCAAACCCATCCTTCAGCCTCACCTCATTGATTTGCAGATGTCGGGAGAGAGCGGAGAAAAACGCAAGGGTATAAGGGACAATCAATCACCGGTGGCACAGGACGTGGAGAAACGCGCCCTCCAGAGGGCTCGGCTTTGCTTTCAGCGCGCTCTTCTGCCACCTCACCAGCAGCACCAGGGCTGGGCACGCTCCGAGCCCCGGCTTTGGTGGGGCACACGTCCCTGCTGCACCCTGAGCTTTTGGGGTGGTACACGAAACACAAGGGAATCAAATTTGGTAGTGACCATCGAGGAGGCAGCACTGGCTACAGCTGCCAGGGGACCTTCCTGCCTTCTACCACAGCATCCTACCTGTTCACCCTGGAAATGCAAATGCAGAGCTGCCTAACTGGGATTCTGGGGCTGTTTTCCCCCAAAAGATCAGTGCTTGGGCAGCAACTGCATGTTCAGGTGTCGAGGTTATCCTGAAACAAGAAAGGAAGTGTGCATTTTCTGTGGTTGCTTCTCCGTGAAGCAGAAATAAGCAACAAAGAATCACACGGTCCTGCAGGCGCTCAGATCAGAGACGGGGCTCACCCTCACCCCTCACAGACAAAGGCTTTGGGTGTATCCCACATCTTCCGCACTTTCTCCCTTCAGTGTGACGAGGCCACCCAGTATACGAACAAAGAAATCTAAACAAAGATGACCAGGTAAAGCAGGCTGTTTAGCTGCAAAGCACAGGCTTGAAAAGCTCTTTTCACTTTCCCAGGGAGTTGTGTACTCACGTTTCCTTTCTGCTATGAGGTGGCACCAGCACCTGCAAACCCGACTGCTCCCCTGACAGTGACGCTGCAGACTCCAGCGTCTCTCACATCACCCACGGCACTGGGAGGCACAGATGGATCCCCTGGATCCCAGGGGCCAATAACTGCAGAAGTTGTCCCACCTTATGTTAACTGCCCTGTTTCTAAGTCCCTCTTCTTCCTCTCTTTAGGTGCCCTGTCTCCTACCGCAGCAAGAAACAAAAGAGATGCAGAGCACTGGGACTGGCATTTCCCATCTCAGCTAGAAAACAACATTATAAACACGTCTCTACTGCATTTAAGTAACGTTTCCCTCCCGTCACTTTTCCTGCAAGGCTGCAAGAAGCTCTTGATTTGCAAACTCTCTCTCATATTGCTCTGTCTAAACCAACAGACCTGTTAACACTTGTTTCTCCACAGAGGAAAAGCAATGTTTCCATGCAAGCGAGGAGTACCAGTATTTCTCAGCAAGAAACTCAAAAGCTGTGTTCTGTCATGTAATGTAATACAAAACACTGAGGACATAGGATTGGAGAGGAAAACACAAGCTACTAGAAGTTAAATATCCGACAAGCAGCATAGCTTCAGGCAGCGCACAGCTAACGTGCAAGAGAAAATCCCTGGTACTAGAATATTAACAACCCTTATTCTGGGTGTAGATGCTGTTAGTAGGTCCTTCAAAGGGCCCACCTCCAGTCAGAGACCCTCACCACCAGGAGGGGGGGCAGCAGAGTGTTACGATTACGTACATCACGCTTAAACAAGCTGCAGCCTCCAGAAGAGGACGTTTACCCCAGACTGAGTGTCCAGCTAAAAGCTTTTTTTAACAGTTTGTGAACAGCCAGTGGCTAAAGAGGCCGGGATTCTCTAACAACTTACTTCCAAAGTTGCTCTAATTACAATGCACGGGGTCTCGCTGCCGAATTTCAAAGACAACACGCAATCCCTCCAGGCTTACCATCTGTGCGTCGAATTCTGGTAACATGATGCACGTTGCTCCCACCCAGAGAGGACAGAGGAGCTTATTGATCACCCCATGGACATGATGCAGAGGAAGCACATGCAGAATGACATCCTCCTTCTTCCACTCCCATTTCTCAACCAGCCCTGTGGTCTGCAGAAGAAAAACACAGCGTTAGGGCACGGGGAAAGACTCACATTGCTCCAAAAACTCGAGGTATGCAGGCCCCAGAAACGCTGGGCACGGCTGGCAGCAGAAATCCCAGACCCCCTGCAACAAAGTCTGGGCACAAAAATCTTTCCTGCTGCAGAGTTGTGCAGAAATAGGAACCAAAACCTTGATTTTCCCAGAACTCTGCTGGCATAGTTTGAACACTGGTGACATTGGGCTTTTAGCACCTGTAAGGGGTCATCGGCAGGAGCAGAAAATCATTGTCTGATAAACAGAAAAACAGGTTTCATGTACATAAAAAAATATCAGTATATCAAGCTTCTAAAACACTCTGCTATGAAGGGATAATTATCTAAAGTGTCAGAACTCAGGCTTCCGGGTGAACAATGCCCTTCAGAGCCCAGCAACTGGAAAGCTTATTTCCAGCCATCTAAAAATACAAAAGCATTTCAACAGTGGAATTCAGTCATGCAATTCACAGCCCTCTTCTTCCACAGGGCAGGGAGCAGCTTTTAGGCTTTCTGCAAGGCAGCACAAAAGGTGGCGACTGCTCAGGCCGCCTCCCAAACGATCAGCATATCTGTAAGGGAACAGATTCTTTGCCTGATATAGCCCAGCCCTGGCTCCATCCATCAAGGCTTTCACACCACTCCCATCACTGCATTTCTGAGCACCCAGAACAACGCAAGCCCTCGGAGGCATCCTCAAGGCACGATGTATTCCCTGCCCTTTTTTCCCTAATGGCACGAGTCTATCAGTTGCAGGCAGCGATAACCAACTGGTGAGGTAGTCAGCATGCTCAGGCAAACTTTTAATTCCTTTTGGCTCAGAGAGCTAATGGATTTTTTGCCTTGGGGATATATAGCTGAATAATGCACAGACTTCACACAGGGCTGGGCTAAGTTATATTCCAATTAGGGGCAAAGATTCTTTCCTAGTCATGGTGGAAGAAAAGCAACCTGCAGAGCAAGCAGGCTTTTTACAACAAGTTTCATCCCTTCTGCTTTCCAGGAAAGCAGGGAGAAGAGTCCACAGCAGCACAGCCACACCAAAGGGACAAGGTTTAGAGCTTCAAACTCTCTTCTGCATGTTCACCTTAAAGTGCTGAGGACTTTGGGCATAAAGCCCCACAGCTCTGTGTAGGAATTTGTGTTGTGCTTTGGCTTTGCAACCCCAAATCCCCTCTGAAGGCCAAGGCCTCTGTAAGTTGCCGTGAGCTTTGCAGAGGGAAAGCAGCACTCACCACAGCTTGCACGTTCGCATGGGTGCTGAGGACACCTTTCGGTCTGCCTGTCGTCCCGCTAGTGTAGATGATCATGGCTCCTCTGTCTTTCCACGAGGAGCAGGTTGTCAAGGCACTTTCTTCCACTGCTGTATGACTTGCAGACCCATCACTGCAAGACCTAGGAAGTGGCAGAACCGGGACTCCCAGCTTCTCAGCGCTAGGGGCTATTTTCCCCATGTATTCCTCTGCTGCGATGACCAGAGCGCTCTGTGAATCCTGAATCACGTACTCCAGCTCCTGCACAGGGTGTTTCTTGTAAAGGGGCACTGCTATGCCCCCGCTCATCCAGGAAGCCCACTGGGCCACCACATACGAGGCGTCATTAGGACACAAAAATGAGATCCTCTCCTCCTTCAAGTCCCTGCTGGAGCACTCCAGAGCTCTACAGATCTCCTGGGACAAGCGCAGACTCTGGCTGAGAAGGTCCCTGTAAGTGTGCTCACCGTTTTGGTCAATAATGGCGATTTTATCACCAAAAGCCAAAGCCCTGGTGAAGACAGGGGTAACGTCACTGCTGTAGGCTGCCCGTGCAGTTTGCAGACCCCTGCGGGGACAACCAGTCCTCTTCTGCCCATGCAACCCCCATCTGCAACGGTGCAAGTCCCGGACCAGGCATCCAAGGGGCCTTGGGCTCACTCGGGGGAAGAGCAGGGAGAGCAGCATCCTGCCAGCACCGCTTGTTTTGAAGTGATTCTGCAGAAAGCAATTATAGGAACAGATAAGTACGTGCAGTGATTACCCAGGGGTTTATTCCCACAAAGGAAAAGTGGCAGCCTTCATTTGAATAATACCCACTGTATTATTAATGGTTATGCTTTAGACTGCTGCATCCCCAGTGTGCTAGGCCCTGCCTGGGTGGAACAGGAGGCAGATACTCTTCCCTACATTTCCCTATAAAAAACAGTCTAACTTAAATTATGAAGTAGTTTTCATCCATCAGTAATATTAGGACACTACGTAGTGGCTACTTGAGGTGCCATTCTAACTCAGCGAGACCAGCATTTAAAGAAGTTAAATAATTACAACAGTACCTCGCTCTCAATTTGCCATTTCCACTAAACCACTGCCTTGCTCTGCAATTCCAGTGAGGCAGCACGGAGTTAGACATGAAATCCAAGCCTGCTGAGGTTCAGGCCAGGATTCTTTCCTGCACGAGCCTTCCTTCAAGCAATAGCACATCTAAGCACAGGAAAGCACCCGATCCCTCCCGCCTGATGGGTCATCCATCACAAACACCGCTTGGGCTGAAAAGCTTTCATACGTGACAGACCAAGTGGTTAACAGCTCCCAAACAGCCACAGGCAGCAGGAGCAAGTGCTGAGCAGCTGGTTTTCCCAGCAAACAGCAGCAGGGAAGCGCAGCCTCGCACCCATGCGTTTGGTACTTCCAAAAGTACCAACCTGGCAGCACCCGGAGCCGGGCAAAGCATCAGGACAAGATCAGCCATGGCTTGGTCTGAGCACAGCCCAACCATCACTCCATCCCAGCAATGACACGATGCACAGAGGTATTTCAAGAGGGAAGAGACTCCAAAAGGGGACAGGGAGGCATACTGGCACCATTAAACACTTACAGGAAGATCATTGGGCTGGCATAAACAAGATGCATTCTGCCTTTGTGCTTAGGCAGCACGATGACATCAAGCTACCCGCTCATGGGAGAGGTTAGCAAAAAAACTTGTGTCAACTGGTGAGAAGTTCCCGAAGCTTGCTCTTTACCCCTCTTTTCATCATCCCCTCCCCTTTCAAAGGGAAATAAATAGTAATAGTGTCAGACACTGCTTGGATCATCTCACGGAGCATCAAGGAGAAAGTTAACACACAGTGTAAAACCTAAAAGAACATCACAGGGAGATGGGAGCCTTGGGAACTATGGAAACACTTTGCCAAGACCACTGGTGCATCTGAGATGAGAGGACGAAGAGATAAATGGAGAGGGCTCAGGAGATGCCTCTGAAGAATCCTGACCCCTCTGCAGAGCCCAGAGCCCTGGCTGGAAGCTCAGCACAACGCACCTCTTCATACAAAGGCCATCACCAACACCAAGAGGAGAGCAGAGGGGAAAGGACAGGGCTGTGGCAGAAGAAAAAGGGCTTTTACTGCACGGCCGAGCTAACGGCTGCTATTAACCACCACCACTGAAGTGTCCCCAGAGAGATTCTGACAAGAGGAGGCAGCCAAAGGATGACAACTTCTCACTCCGCAGACCTGTACGTGACACTGCCTTGACGCCAGCAATAATGACTTGGGGTTTTTTTGTTTTTACAATTTTTTTGATAAATACCTATTAGTGGAGCGGCTCAACTCAAAGAGCCTCCCAGCTCAGCTTCCCACCATGGGGAGGAGCTGAAACAAAAAGGATCCAGAGAACTTGGGGACGAGCTGAACACAGTTTAGCCCAGCTCAGGCTGCTCAGTCACATCCACGGCAAGTGTTTATTCTCACTTAAACATAACTGCGAGCCCTGCAGTCTCTCCCATCCACCTTCAGATCATTTCTCCAGCCAGACATTGGCCTCGCACGTATTTTCTTTTGCATATCGACCTCAGTTTCTGCTTCTGCAAAAGAAACTTGTGATTCTGTGCGGAAACATCTGGGAGGGGGAGAGGCTTTAGCCCCAGAGCGTGCACTCGTGACATACACCATCAGGATGGAAAAAAAAAACCAAAACAGGTCACGACAAAGCTCGCGTGACATCTTTCCATTTTTCTATAGAGACCAAAATACAAAATAAAGCGAGACCACCAGCCGTAACCTAAACCAAACCACCTCCTCCTAACCCACGCCCAAGGCCAGCTCACTGGTGAGATGTTAATGCCCCAGATGTTAAGAGGGGCATTAATTGGAAGTGACCGTTTGCCAGGATCACGCCAGGCCAGCACAGCTAAGTGCACTTGGCATGCTCGCTGTTCTCCATACAGCTCCAGAGCAGGTGTGAGCTGCTGCTTCAGAACGGCCACTTGCAAACATTACATTTATTATTACATTACATTATCCCCTTTTCACCACAGCACCAGTCCAGCTCTAATAAACAGCAGCACCTTGAGCCAGACGTGTGCATTCACGGCTGCCAGAGGAGCAGTGGGTATGTGCAGACTTACAGACACTCGGGACTGCGCAAAATGACACCAGGGGCTGTTTCCTGTACCCTGCCTGTTGCTCGGGGATAACTGGTAAAATAGGAAAAGCATAAGAAGTTTCATATAATCACAGAATCATTAAGGTTGGAAAAGACATCTAAGATCATAAAGTCCAATCATCAACCCAACACCTCCACACCCACCATGTTCCCAGGTGCCACATCCACACGGTTTTTTGAATCCCTCCAGGGATGGGGACTCCACCACTGCCCGGGGCAGCCCCTGCCAGTGCTTGACCGCTCTTTCAGTGAAGAAATATTTCCCCATATCCAAACTAACCCTCTCTTGGCACCACTTGAGGCCATTTCCTCTCATCCTATCACTTGTCACTTGCAAGAAGAGACAGATCCCCACTTCTCTACCCTCTTCTTTCAAGAGCTGCAGAGGGGATAAGGTCTCCCCTCACCTCCTCTTCTCCAGGCTGAACCCCCTCAGCCGGGGCTTTATTCTCCTTCCACCTTGGTCAGGATTTCCACCCTCCAGCTCTCACCGTACTCACACCGCACCTCAGAGGAGCGGCAGGGAACCTCCTCACCCCACCATTTATAAACTCCCGAGGGCGACGCTTGGCCGCACCAGGCCGGGCCCCGGCGCCGCCACACGCCGGCAGCACTGGCGTC